GCATCCATAACAACAGATTCAAGGAGCTGTTTGCTTTGCTATTTTTAGAGGATGGTTAGCTAATATGTGTCACTATATTTATACTGAAGGAGAGAGCTCTGCAGAGATAGTGCAGGAGCTGTTTTAGGCCTGACCTCTGATAACACATACAGATGGAGACATTACGTTTTCGATGAAGACCCAGCTCTAACTGAACAAGCTTGTCTAGAGTTAGTGAGGGTAAACAGTTTGCATTTTGATCAACAGCACTGTGTCTTAGATTTTAATTTAGTTTGCATGTATGTGTTTGGGCGAGCTCTTTACCAAAGCTGGACTTGGTATATGTGAAGTGTACGTAAGCAGAAGCCTGCTAAATGTTGTTGTGGTTGTGTGACAATAATACATATTAGTAATGGTGAATAAGGGCAGATAATAAATGAGATTGGAAGGATCAAATAGAGAAACAGGATACTTGTCTATGTACAAGGTTAATGCCAGACACTGGTAGTCAATTATTAATAATTGAACAAAGGCCTTTATCAACACGGCTCTCATTCAGCACTTCCTGTCTCCCTCACCTCCTCATTCCTTCTGTCTCTCATTTCTTACTGCCTTCATCTCTCATTTGTTATTTTCCCCTTAACAAAACTTTTCCTTCCCCTCTTACTCTCTCTCTCTCTCCCTCTGTCATTCCCCTCTACCTTAACCGTCAGCTCTTAACCTCGATGTCATCACGTTTCTGACTTTACTCTCTTCTCTATTCACTATTAAAATGATGCTCTTGCTTAGAGTTTCCATAGCAACACACTGACCTGGCCTACGGCTGTGAAGGGCTGGAAGGGACAACCTCATCAGTCACACACGCACGCAAACACAAACACACACACACACACACACACAATGACATCACGCACACAGACACACACACAAACACACACAAACACACACACACACACACACACACACACACACACACACAATGACATCACACACACACACACACACACACACAATGACATCACGCACACAGACACACACACACACACACACACACACACACACACACACACACACCCACACACACACACACACACACACACACACACACACACACACACATACACACACACACACAATGACATCACGCACACAGACACACACATACACATACACATATGCCTACAGAAACAGACATAGGGTTAAAAACAATTATGGAGGGTTATGCTTTTGGGAAAAAAGTTCCCCCTCAGCCACACACTGACAGCTCAAACTGGGATATTCTCATGCTAACCCCGACCCTTACTGAACCGTTAAGCTTTGCTCACTATGTGCATTAAAGATTCAAGATTCAAGGGTTTTATTACCATATGCATAGTAGCTACACTGAAATGAACATATTAGGTCCCGAGCTCCTCCAACAATGCAGCATATTAACAATATATACAATAATAATATTTAAAAAAAAATAGTACAATACATTTGAATACAATTGTGCAGTTGAAAGAAACATAATGATATATTGTACAGTGAAATACAATGAACTATAACTATTAAAGGTCCCATGTCATGGCCATTTCTACTGATCATAATTGCATTGTTGAGGTCTACTAGAATAGATTTATATTGTGCAATTTTCCAAACTCACATTGGTTTCTCATACAGCATCTCTGTATAGTATGTGTATTCACTCTCTGTCCTACACGCCTTGTTGGAGCTCCTGCCCCCCCCCCCCCCCCCCTCCCTGTGAGCCCAAATAAAAACCTTCATAATACACAAGGGGGCGGGTAATAACCGGAAAAGCATGACATGGGACCTTAAAGGAATTAAAGGAAGCATATGGATGACCATACACATACTGTGGCTACTGTGTGGTTCCCCCCAGTAACACACTTTTGATTTCAATTTATACAATTTAGTGTTTTTTTATCACTGTATGTTGTACACAAATCTAGTTATATAAAATTATTCAATGTTGTACTTCGGGTTTCTGAACGATACATGCATAAAGAAATCAGGTTGTACGAGATAATGTGAAGCCTACATTGCCCTCAGGGCTCTTTATGAGCACACAACAGTTCCTTGTAGACATCTGACCATGTTTTGAACTCCCATTATTCCATAAAATGAAAGCACTCTTTTTTTGTGAAATAACCCCGAATGACCTTGACTTGCAAATTGTTTGAATAAATAAAATAAGGAACGAAGGAGTCATCCAAAATTAACTAATCAAAATAATTATGATGCTGAATACAATTGCAAGCAGCTAATGTGAACGTTTCCGGGCATGAGGTGGAGCTAAACGAGGTTACTGATTAAAAACAAGGCAAACAAATCAAAGTACTGTGCACATAGCCAGTAATAATCTCTCAATCTGCATGGTGAATAAATTGCAGTTGCTAAAATAATACTGATTATTGATGTCAAATTAAAAAAAGCTATTATTAATTTGTAATCTGAATTTGTCGTAAAAACAAATCACTTACTGACTTATTATTATTATTATTACGGACATTGTAGACTAGGGGCCAACAATTAAGAGGTGGAGGCCAAATACCAATGTGTTTAATTTATTCCTTTTATCTTTCTTGTTAAATAAAGAAATACAAATAACAGTATTGCTTAATTAAAGTGTAGCATTTATTCCATCCATTTTTTAAACTGTAAGTTGTTTGGCAAGTTAAATATACTTTCTTTCAGCACCATGACTGTCCATACTAAACAGCCCCATGCATGGTGCAGAACAAGTCGCTGTATCTGATTTTATTTTTGGCTTCAATGTAATTCTCTGTAGAATTTCCTTATAATAGAAACCGTACATTTCTGAAACATGACTTCAAGTTGAAGTAGCTGAAAAAGGGAGTGTAGGGGGTCTGGGGAACTAAAATCCCCTTAAATACAGCTATAAAGTAAACACCTGCAGTATACATGTTTATGAATATAAAGTAGTTCATGAGTGGGAGTTTTCAGCTGTCATATCTTTTCATAATGTATGTACTGTATTTCAAATCCATCCTACATTCCCACTGCAGGTAATCTCCTGTTTTGCACATAGAACAAAAAATGGCATAATTTAAAAGTGTAATCTCAGCAAACCAGACTACTTGCTCACTTTTTGTTGTGATAGCTGAAAAGAGAACAAAACTTTGTAGCCTAATTCTGAATGGTTTCTCAAAAATGCAGCTGTCGTTAAGTATGGATACTTGTCAACGATTTATCCTTCCAAAATACTCCCCGATTGTTTCAGACATCAGACTAAATGAGGGAATACCTTTGTGTATGAAGCTGGTTTGTTAAACAATAGCAGCCTGGCAGACAGAGCACTGTGCAGTCACATAAGTGTGACTAACGACCTGGCTAAGACACAGGATTCCTTTCATTCTTTACCCACTTCTTCCCATCCTTCAGCCACTGCCTTTACCTTGGATTTTGATTTTGGTTGTGTCTCACCTTGTTAAAACAAAGCAGGCAGCACGATCCGCTGAGTGTGAGTAACTTGCCTATGATGCATGACTTCATACCATCCAAATAATGAGTCAATTAGTGTGATTTATACATGTGTAGGGCTAGCTGCAATTAGTTCCCCTATCTCTTTTCCTGTATGACTAGAGTTACAGTATTTCCCCTTTCCTGTATCCTCCTTCTCTCCCTCCATCATCCTATCGCTAGTATTACACTCCTCTTTCTCATCTCTCCTGTCTGCCTCTTCATCATGATCCTTTCTTTTTTTATCATCTTCCTCTCCCCTCTTTTTCTCTGCCCCCTCCCCACCCTTCCCTCTTTCTCTCTGTCCTAGTTCTCAGGGTCTCATGGTGAAGCTTTGTCTAATTACCATGCTGGCGTTTAATTGGAACAGCATCCACAAACACACAGATTGACTGACTGAATGCCCCTTACGTGTACACACTGCACTGTGCATGCACACACGCGCACACACAAGAATTAGCCATTTGGATACACATTACACGCACACAGTACACACCCAGCAAGTTAACATGCTCCAGTTAAACAAATACACACAGCATACACCGGGGTCAGATGCGGTGGAGTGCGTCCAGGTTGTACTACAGCCACGGAGCCGATGCCCCGTCTGTAGAGCTAAGGCGAGTTGGCTACAGTCATAGATTGATTTTGGCTTAATATACCGTGAGCTGCCTGTAGCTGCTCCCACTGTAGAGAGCTATGTCATCCAACTACTGGCGACAGCAGATGCACACTGGAGACAAAAAGCTAGCCAGAAGTCTAAATACTACACGTTTTGGAATATTTTTGAATTCTGGAAAACCAAACATAATTATCTTTCTTAATTCATGTTGTTTATTCTGATGTTAGTATTTGGTCAGCGTTCACTGCAGTCATTTCAGAATAGGAATAATGCACTTCTATCTCAGTGTAAATATTCTGATATATATTTGACATTTTAGCATTTGTGTGAATCCTCACATAGTGTACCACAAGAATCTAAAAAATATTATTGAAATTAAACATGTGCCTAAGAAGAAACTAAACAATACATATGTATTTTCATTCATACATTTCCATGAATGTCATTCTACTGTAAAATATTTCATATTTCATTGTTGAATATTGCATTGTTGAACCAGCATTTAAGATGTAGTGCTTACAACCACAGTGCAGCTGTTGTGCATATGACAATAAAACCTTTGAATCTTGAATCTTAAGTCTCTTCAGCCATGTGGAAATTACCCAAATGAGACAATCTGAGAAGCAAGAATCAGTCTTTGATTAAACATGCTGTAAGCCGAGTGACGCTTGGTTATTGATTTGTTTTAAGGGGTAATCGTCCACAAAGTTCGGTAGAGCTCCTGAAGGATATATTGACACCAAAACAGCAACACATATACATCTGATAAGATGTCTGTTGTTGAGTTGTATATCTGATTAGCATTTGTTTGGGTCGGTTGATATGCTTGTGTTTTTTAGAGGTCAAGTGGTTATTTTTATATTCTATGTATGGTTTAACAAAAGGAGTAATTCTGTCTGTTTTCTTCTTTCTGTTTCAGTCCTGCCCAGCCATACGTGTGGCACCCCGGGCGTCATCCCCAACGGAGTCATTCATGGCTCGCGGTACAACATGGGAGACAAGATCCGATACAGCTGTGAGTCAGGCTTTGTATTGGAAGGACACAGTATCCTCACCTGTATTGTATCACCTGGCAGTGGAGCACAGTGGGACTTCCCTTCACCATTTTGTAGAGGTAAGATGTTGTTTCTTTCTTTCATTCTCTGTTTTTTTTCTCTGTTTATTCCTTTCTTCCTTTTTTCTCCCTCTGTCAAAACAAACCCTGTAATTGGTGGGGTTATGAGAACTGAAGGACCTTAACATAGGGTCACAGGTCTGAATAATGTGAGAAGCCTCAGTGTATTGATTACTTTTAAAGCACAGCAAGTTCTCAATTTACCTAACAAGCCATTATATGAACCAGACGTAGCCTAAAATCCTCAACAAAGCCCTTCTGATGGTTCATTAGTCCACTGACCAAACAATATCTGCACAGGTTTTCACCATCAGGGCCACTAAGTGGTTCAACAGATCAGCTCAGGGATTCAGTATCTTGTTATAATTGTCTTTAAATCTAATTTCAAACGTTGCATGTTTTCAAACACTTAATTTCAATGATTTGATCGTCTTCTTTTCTTTACTCTATTTATTAAAAATATATTGATTGTACTTTGTTTTAACGTTAAAACAGTTTATTAAAGGTAGGGTAGGTAAGTTTGAGAAACCGGCTCGAGATACACTTTTTGTTATATTCCATGGAATGCTCTTAACATCCCGATAGCAATGAATATCTTAAGAGCTTTGACAAAAAATCCATAAGGAAATTTCATCTGTGGAAGCCGTAGTACTGTAAAAAGTATGACCAATCATTTTAGCCGACCCGGCTAAAATAATTGGATGGCCTACCTGCCTGTCAGCCTTCCATCTGTGCACAAACTTATCTTGTGCCCTCATTGGTCATGTGCACGTTCGTGTGTGTTGGAGGAGGGGCTCTGTAAGGAAGTGGCAGATTTTCTCCGTACATGGTCCTGATTTAAACACATGTAATACACCTTTTTTCCATACCAAGTACACAAAATTACTCAATCTAGTGAACTAGGTTGAAGAGCACCTTCAGTATTGAATTGTGAAATATAGTATTGTACAAATGACAACCTGATAATATGGCATTGTAAATGTCAACAGTAAAAATGGATGCATATGAGAGAGAAAAAACAAACAAACAATCAAAATGATTTAAAAACCAACAGCTAACAAACATATAAGACAATTACAAGAAAAATAAATTGTCAAGTTAACCCATAAATAAAAGCAAAAAAATATGTTAAGGAATTATGAAATACTTTGAAAGTTACAATTTGTTCTTATTCTCTGTCCTCTTTGTCTCTTCAGCGGAGGGAGCGTGTGGCGGCACGTTACGAGGCACCGCAGGTTCCATAACCAGTCCTGGGTTCCCTGCCGAGTACGACAACAACCTGGACTGTACGTGGTCCATCCTCTCTGAGCCCGGGGATACTATAGCGCTCGTCTTTAATGACTTCTTATTAGAGGACAAATATGACTTCCTGGAAATCAGCGGGACAGAGGCACCAAGCATATGGTGAGATACATACTAACACACACCTCACTGTGGAGTAGATAAACAGTTATGATGGAGTGCACACACGTAGCCGTTGTGAAAATCAGCAGGAGTGACACACCACACGTTGAGTGGGTTCATAATGAAACACGCACACACACTGACATGTCAGAGTGTAGTAGCATTGACATAGCCTTCGTGTTTTAGATCTAGATGATAACAAATACACAGAGGAGAGCACAGCCTCGTTCTTTAAATCAGGTGGGGACAAAGGATACTACTCTCCAAGAATTAGTAGCCGAATTTATTGTGCTCACAATAAAAAGAACAGTTGTTGTTTTCTCTGCAATTTTCTCTAACTTGTATACTTTCACAGGGGGGCATTTGATATTTAGAGGGGGTTAATGATGTTGTTGGGGAGGACGGATACAACTACTGATTGATTAGGTGTGCAGAAGACCTGTTGATTTTCCTGATTTATTCAAATCCCACAGGGAAGGTGATAAATAGTTGTTTTCACTCCTTTTTCCTGTGGTAGCGTTTGAAAATTGGCACTCTGTCGTACCAGAACACACTCTGCTTTTAAATTTAGAGCGCTGTCGGAATTCAGAGTGGTTTGTTCAAAATATCACACATCTCCATTGAAGGTTTAGATGCGTTTTAGCGGGGGTTAGGCATGCAGGGTTGACGCCGGTTCAACTAGCTGACTGTGAGAAAATCTAGCAAAGGGAAAGTAGTTTGGACTCCCTCAATAACAAAAACATTATGCATGACATCCAACGCTGCTCGAAATGGGAAAGGAATAGTGTGATTATTTGAGAAACACTTTTATTCCAAAACAGTCTATATTAACCTTTACACCACCCTGATACAGCTGCTTTTCAATGGTGAATTCTTTATTCTGAATGGATGTAATATAAATATAATATTTTGTTTAAAACTAAAATGGCTGCATTCATTCTTTCTCTGTCAGTTTTGTCACTTCTGATGTGTCCCAAACGATCTACAAAACAGTGCATCGTCACATGACATTTTCAATTGAAGTCGAAATGCGATTCAAAATCTTAATCTTGATTATTATTTTCTCTCTACTGAATTTGATTCCTAAAATTGAATTTATAGATTACCATGTCTTGAAAACACTATCTCCCATTGTTCACGTTGCCCTGTCTTCAACTGATAGATGACATTGTCTTCCATGTGTAGAAAATGGTTCATGATTGTGGCCCATCTTGCAGAAGAAAAGAATGGAGAGGTCGACAGATAAATAAGTGGAGTGAAGGAGGCAGAGAGGACAGCACCAGATGGAAACAAAAGGAATGTAGAATAATTGCACGTTTAGTCCTGTCACCAGCAGAGCGGTACACATCAACCATGGCATTCTCATGATACCAAGAGTGTGTGTGTGTGTGTGTGTGTGTGTGTGTGTGTGTGTGTGTGTGTGTGTGTGTGTGTGTGTGTGTGTGTGTGTGTGTGTGTGTGTGTGTGTGTGTGTGTGTGTGTGTGTGTGTGTGTGTGTGTGTGTGTGTGTGTGTGTGTGTGTGTGTGTCAGGCCTTAAGTGGCCCTCTGACTGTGTGAGCTGTTGATCGTTCCTCTAGGCTCCGACAGATTATACACACTCAAGTGCGTGCGCACACACACACACACACACACACACACACACACACACACACACACACACACACACACACACACACACACACACACACACCCATAGCTTGTCTCTGACAGTCTCTGACAGTATAACAGTCAAGGAGCCTTCAGAAAAGTACACCCAAAAATGTATCACAGGGAAAAATAGGACCTGAAGCCTTTTAACGGCACAATTGTGGTTCAGTTTGATGTCTGTTGGATGATTTATTAAAAAATTCAATGTATAACATATTTTAGTTGGCAGATAGCAACTCCATCAATACAATTTGGCAGCAATTACTCCATATTATATTTGTGGATGAGAATAATCATTTACATTTCAGAATTTATATGAAGTTCACAAACAAAGTGAACTAATTTTAATTTCCAGTACACAAAACAACAGTAGTTTTGTGTGAGAAAGTGTTTTATTTGTGTATTTTTTAATCTTATTACACTGCATATGCAGGGACAAAACAGAGAGCGTGAAGTGTTATACAAGAAAGGTCCCAAGTTTCAATAAAAAAATATGTTGCAATTATATGGTTTGCATTTTAGCAGCCTTATGCCACCCATACACCTTGTATATTTAATGAAAGTTCACTGACTCCAGGCCTGAAACAATATAATTATACAAAAATAAACCTGAATGGACTTCTGCAATGCACGATCTAATACAACCCTAAGTACTTTTCTCCAGAGGTGGGATTAAGAGATGATTGACATTTTCACTGAGGCATGTGGGCAGGTCATTGTGGAAATGACTGACACCTGACAGGACCACTGTGACGGGTTCTTCCTGTTTACCGTGAGCTTTTTCTGATTGGCTGTCCCAAAAGCAATTTCCTGTTTTATGTTCCTGTCTGCTAGGTGGCAAGTTGAATGTCAGGTTGACTAGCTGTCACATACACACACATACACACACTGACACACATATATAAGTACTTGTGCCTGAACAATTTTACTTTTGTATCCAAATAGACAAAGTGATGATTTGATTCCAGTTTGTCAGAATATAATAACGGACACATTATGTCTTGTCATTCCTTGTATTCCTCCTTGAGATGGACATTTTATTCCTGCAGACAGTTTAAGTATATTCTGCTTTTGGAACAGTAAAGTATGAAAATAGTTAAAACACTTTAAATCTTGTTTAAAAGACTATTCTCTGGTTAATCTGACATGTTCATCCGGTTTTTATGTTTTGGCACTTATGTTTTGAAACCAAGCAGCAACCTCAATTTTTGAAAAGTGAAAAAAATGCAGAGGTCCTATTATATAAAGTCTATGAGAAAATTACCCTACTTCTCACTTCATTTATGACCTCATTAAACATTTCACATTAAAGTGTATGATGTTAATGTCTAGCTTCAGGTCTTCATCAATACAGTATGATGATAATTGTGTAACGGATGGTCCCATTTAGAGTTAAATAGAAGATTAAGCATTGTAAGCTTAAGGGGGGGGTTACCCTGTGATTGACAGGTTGCAATCTGCATTACCCAGTTTGCATTCATCTATTTTTTCATCTAACAGTTGCAACCTTTTTATAGTGTGATTTCAGTTGACAAAGATGGATAGAGGTAGATAGATACTCTATGCACCCACATTGGAAAATTCTTTCACATTTTTTAAAGTTATATTTTGGTCAAATAAAAATATATTTTTCAACGTTTGGTGGCCCAACCCTCACAACCCTCACATATACTTACACAAAACAAAGGTGGAAAAGGGCAAACTGCCAAGCTCGAGGCTTCAAAACATTCCAATGGGTGAAGTCAGATGTTGTGTTTAGATGTTTGAAACTGGCCTTTAGGGTGAGGACAGACTGGGTGCACAGGACGCACAGGACAGTTAATAGCTAGTGTGAACTTTATTTCACCGGGATTATTTGTGAAATATAAAGAAGACCGCACAAAAGATGGGGCAGAGATAAAAGGCAGGCAACTGAGTGCCAGGGATGGGGTCAGAAAGACAGAGGACCTCCAGGCACGTGTTTTATTGTGCCTTCTGTAGTAGTCCAATGGCTTTACAACACTGTATGCCTTATAGCAGTGGTTCTCAACTGGTCAGGCCTCGGGACCCACTTTTTCCTTTGTCAATAGATCGCGACCCGAAATTTTGAACCACTCAAATCTATTCAACAAAAAATCGTGCTGTAATATATACGCTTTTCAGCATACAATATTAATAAAAGTGAAGTACAGTGCATATATCCCTTATATCCCTTCACAGAACTAAAGGTTTAATGAGATGATGGAATCAAAGATGAACTGTATAACATAAAAAGGCACACATGCTGAAAACCCAACCCCAGAAGGGGGTCTGGGAGGATTCTCCCCCAGGAGATTTTTTGAAATACTAACAAATAAACTACGCATTCTGGTACACTCTGAGAAGAAACTAAATAAATCTATTGCTACCCGACATATTAATAATATATTATGCCATTGTTTGTTTTTCACTTAGTTCTGACAGCTGAACTTGCTGCTCCACACAGAGAGAAGAGCAAAGAGGAGATAGTTTGTGTGAATTACTTTAAATTGTGGGTAAGGGTAGATAGCTCCCATTGTTCTGTGACCTGTCAATCATCAAACCGGGGGTCATATTTCATTATGTGTTCATTTTTATCTGAAGTTGTACCCATGGATGTATAAAGAGTAGTTCTACCTCAAAGTTATTCTCCGTGGGGACTTCCGGCAACAATCTTGATTCTGATTTGCCAGAAGACTCGAAAAAACATAAGCAAAGATGTTTTATTGAGAAGATGATCATTACGTGACAGAAGTTTTCAAAACCGTTTATGGTCTCCGGTACTTCCAGTCCAACGCCTACTGCATGCACAGCGTTAGGAAATCGGGCCTTCAAAATAAAAGTTTGACTTTTCTTTTCTTTCTTTCTTTCTGCACTCACACATCTGCGACCCACTCGAAACGGGTCCGCGACGCACTTTTGGGTCGCGACCCACCAGTTGAGAACCACTGCCTTATAGTATATATTTGTTTACATTTATATTATTAACAAGTATAAATATGGAATGCAAACAGTATACTGCTACTGTATGCAGTTGAGGAGGTCTGAAGTGTTTCTCAGTGCATGGATGTTCACATCTTCATTGAATCAATATGAAGATCGTGTTCAGACCAGTAAGCCAAATTCAGAGAGAAGACATTTTCAGATAGTGTAACAGCAATGGCTTTGCGGTTTGAAAGAGGCACCTTGTATTTTCTATTTGTCTTTTTCACATATAATATATGCAGCATATCGCTTATTTTATAAAGTGCTTGTTTTAGTAAACATGTTTATCTGCATATACTGGGATTGTGTTGACCTGAAAGGAAGAAGACATAAACATCTTATATTGAAAAAATGCTTTAGATGGAGTATA